TTTTTTTTTTGAACGGGCGACGGCCTTGAGATATTATCATTGAGCTGACCGGCCCCAAGCAATTCATTGGTAGTTGGTTTTACTCGTCACGTTCCATCATCTGGATTCGAACACAGGTCTGTATTTCAACAGTTCATGGGTGTGTACCAACTGAGCTAGGCTCTTGGTTGCGACTGTTTGTGAGCAGGTCATGTGCCCGAGTCGTGCGGAGGGATCAGATTATTATTTTAGGGAGGAGATGATTATAATATAGAAGGCCTCGCCACCACCACTCACGAAACCAGAAGAGAATAGCGGGTGGAGCCATCAGAATCAAGGGGACTTTTATAGACGGCATCATAATCATAATTATGCACTCGCCATTTTTCTCGTTTTCGACAGTGGTGTGGCGTGCCCAGGCCGTATGTCGTATATATCTATGTGATATCATATATATATCTACATATATATCGTCATATATATATATATATATATACATTAATACATTTATATATGTAGATGCATATTTTGTATTTATGTATGGTGGATGTATACCGCCACGTCTGCTGTTTCGATACACTTGTCAGGGCTGCTTCGATGGCTCTACGCAAGGATGACACGCATAAATCGAGACGACTTTTTTTTTTTTTTTTTTTTTTTTTTTTTTTGCGTGGTCCGATTAAAGGAGGGACGAAAATAGCGCCGCCACAAAGAAGTGCCCAGGTGCATGAGCTGCACCTGACTCTCTTTGGCGCCCACATACCTGCTTACAGGGATGGTTTTGTGTATCTCGCGAGCGTGAGTGGGCTTGCTTCGGGCTTCACGCTTTTCCGTCCGCGGCGGCAAACGCGACCGATCCGTGGCGGTGGGCATGCGGCGAGAGCGCGGCGCTTGCGCGGGTAAGCGCGCCCGCGCCAGGACTCATCAGTTGATAGGGCGGTTGGCGCGGCACTGACCTGGTCGCTCGTCGCCTGCCAGCGAAGGAGGAGGAGAGGAGGAGGAGGAGGCGAGAGCGGCAGGTGGCCCACGTCTACCACCCGAGCGCAAAGGGGAATGGGCGGGGGGGAAGAGATAGAAGAGGGGGGGGGGGGGGGRGGGGAAGATCGGTGAGCGGAGGGGTTAGATGTGGTAGGGACTGGGTGTGTGCAGGTGGTGGTTGGGGGGCTTATCCGGCGGGCGGGCGAGAGTTTTCCGTCCCCGCGCAGGATCGGCGGAATCGACAGGTAAAGAGGGAGGGGGGCGAAGAAGACGAAGGGGGGAACTAGAGGGGGAGGAGGGGCGGTTGGCAGGTTGCGGTCGAAGAGGAAGAAGGGGGGCAGTGGAGCTTCAGTTTGAGATTGCCGTACCCATCTCCCTCCTCCTAGTTCTCCCTCTTCTCTTTCCCCTTCTTCGGCGTTGTCGGTGAGGTTGGACAGCTATGGCGTCCGCACGCTCGCGCGCTTGCCGCTTGGTGCAGCGCGTTGCCGACGCGCAGCGTCAAGGATGGCTGGCTCCTGCAGCAGCAGCGGCGCGCGCCGGGCCGGCGGAAGCTCGGCGAGCCATGTCGACGGCTGCTTCCCGGGGCCTGCTGCGGGCCGTCGTTGCGCGGTCTTCGGCCTTCGGCAGCGCGCAGGTGCGCTGCGCCTTTGCCGCCTCGCGCCGGATCTCCGCGGAAGCGCTGAAGCCGCTCGACACCTTCCCCCGCCGGCATATCAGCCCAACAGCCGAGGACCAAGCGGCTATGGCAAAAACCTGCGGCTTTGACTCCGTCGATGCGCTGGTCGATGCCACTGTCCCACCGTCCATTCGTCTCGAGAAGTCGCTGGATCTGGGCAAGTACACGACCGGGTTCGCTGAGAGCGAAATGCTTGAAAATTTCAAGGCTATGGCGTCGAAGAACGAAGTGAAGCGATCCTTCATCGGCATGGGTTACTACAACACCTTCACGCCAACGGTCATTTTGCGCAACATTCTGGAGAACCCAGGATGGTACACGCAATACACCCCCTACCAGGCGGAGATTGCGCAGGGAAGGCTGGAGTCGCTGCTGAATTACCAGACCATGGTGTCGGATTTAACGGGATTGCCGATGGCAAATGCGTCGCTGCTGGATGAGGCGACCGCGGCGGCGGAAGCGATGGGAATGTGTAGCAACATTGTGAGGGGGAAGAGGAAGAAGTTCTTCATTGCGAGCAACTGCCATCCGCAGACCATAGCCGTGTGCGAGACGAGAGCGGATGGATTGGGGATGGAGGTGGTGGTGGGGAACCCGGCGGAGATAGACTACAGTGGGAAGGATTACTGTGGGATCCTGTTGCAGTATCCGGGTACCGATGGGGCCATCGAAGACTACGAGTCGGTCATTAAGGTAGCGCATGATAATAACGCGAAGGTGGTGATGGCAACGGATTTGTTGGCGCTGACAATGCTAACGCCGCCGGGAGAATTGGGAGCGGACATAGCAGTTGGCTCGGCGCAGAGGTTCGGTGTGCCGATGGGGTATGGTGGTCCCCACGCTGCCTTCCTCGCCACGTCCTTCGACTACAAGCGGTTGATGCCGGGAAGAATCATCGGCATTAGCGTCGACTCGCAGGGCAACCCGTGCCTCAGAATGGCCATGCAGACCCGTGAGCAACATATCCGACGAGACAAAGCGACCAGCAACATCTGCACTGCACAGGTACGTTCTTCGTAGAAATTTGCCTCCTCCTCCTCCTCCTCCACTCTTCCTCTTCCACCTCACATCTCTTTCTTCTTTGTCATCTCCCACTTCTTCTTCTTCTTCTGCTTTAGCTTCTGCTGCTGGTGCGGCTACTTCTTCTTCTTCTTCTTCTTCTTCTTCTTCTTCTGCTTCTGCTGCTTCTGCTGCTGCTGCTGCTGCTGCTGCTGCTACTTCTGCTGCTGCTACTTCTTCTTCTTCTTCTTCTTCTTCTTCTTCTTCTTCTTCCTTAGCTTCTTCCTTAGCTTCTGTCGTTGGTGCTGCTACTACTAATACTACTGCCTCTTCGTTTTTGTCATTGACATTGCCCTGATGACTCCGCAGCAGCAGAAGAGTTATAGTTGGGATGATGTCTCATCATAGCGTTCTTGTTCTGTGTGACTGTGGACATTTCAGTTTGGTACACTGATATCGACCTGCTTTGAGGCCGCATTAGTCCGACTACTACTTGTACCAGTGCTTCTACTACTTCAATAATTAGTCAATTACTACCACTTTTACTCCATTACCTATTATCACTACTACTACTACTACTATCACTACTACTACCACCACCATTGCTAATGCTACTACAACTACTACTAGTGGTACTTATTAGTATAGCTTCTAGTACTACTACCACTACTACTACTACTAGAACTACAACTACTAGAACTACTACCACTACCACTACTGCTGTTGCTACCCTCTTCCCCCGAACACAACGCACCCTCATTTTGACCGTATTGGGCCGGAAACACGCCTTGCATACGTTCATTTTCAGGGTGCGTTATGTTCGGGGGAAGACGGTATTCCTACTATTACTATGTAATGTTGTGCCTCTACTACAACTATTATTACGACTACGACGACGTTTTCTGGTCTTTCGGCCTGTTTCCTGTTGATTTTTTGGCTTCATTGTCCAGCTTGATCTTCTGTCGCCTTTTCGTATCCCTCTTCAGCTCCTATCTTTTCGTTCCCTTTTTTAACTTCCGTCTTCGATTTCCTGGCTATTGCTTTTGTTTTTTTTCGTCTTCTTCCGATTATGCGCTCACTGGAAAACGCCGCTCGTCATGACAAAGGATTTGCACTCTTGTTGCCATTGCTTGCTTGCTTGTTCCTCCATGCCTCCGGTTACAATGACGTCAGGAGTGCATGGAATATAGTCGCACGAAATGGGTTTACTACGTATTTGCATTCGATGCGTTCATTACCATATCTGGGTTCCGCACGTTCGAATTGCACCCTGCATGTCGTAAATTGGAATTAGCGCGGGAGCTAGCAGCAACCATTGTGTGCCTTCACTATCTAGCCTGCGCGCCTGTGCCGCCCATCACGCTCGTGGTAACAGAACAGGGATAAGCAAGCCCCGCCGTTTGCGAAAGGCCGTTAGGCGGCTGTTAAGAACTTAAGGTCTTGCGGTTGGTGGGAACATTCAGTAATGAGCGACTCTGCCTCTTCGATCTGCTCTCTCGATGTGTGCATAGCGCGCACACAATCACATACAGAAACCGGCACAAACACACACACACACACACACACACGCACACACACACACACACACACACACACACACACACACACACACACACAGAGAGAGAGAGAGAGAGAGAGAGAGAGAGGGAGAGACAGAGAGAGCATACGTAAGGTTTTGGAGGTGGACTTGTCTGGTGAGTGGGCGGTAAGATTGGCCACGGCAAGGGGAGTAATTTGCCTGCTCTTGGCCGAACGCCTGGGGCGAGGTCCCACTGTAGTAAAGATGATTGGATTGCACGCCTGAATCTGGACGTGTTTGTGGAGAGTGCAGAAAATCGCGGTTTGGTCTGCTTTTCTGCTTTTCTGCTGTCCCTACCTTCTTCCCCCGAATACAACGTACGGTCATTGTAGGTGTATCTATAGGCTGAAAGATGCCGCAAAAAAATACAGCTATGATGACAGTACGTTGTATTCCGGGGAAGAAGGTAGGGACGGTCAGAATTGTAGTATTTTACTCTGCTTCCAGTGGAGTTCGAACTCACGTCTGCATTTTAACAGTTGAGCGGTGCACCAACTGAGCTAGACAAGTTGCTGACAGGAAGATTTTCCGGGGCTATGCTACTGTAGCCGCATATCCTGGGGCAAGGTCCCACTTGCACGGATTACGAGAATCTGACCGTTGATCTTTGCTATCTACGGTCAATATTGCTTAATTGGTGTAAATGCGATCTAGCCCCTGATGTTGAGGCGGGAAGAGGAAAATAAACTATTGGTGTAAATGCGATCTAGCCCCTGATGTTGAGGCGGGAAGAGATCGCCCCTGATGTTGAGGCGGGAAGAGATCGCCCCTGATGTTGAGGCGGGAAGAGGAAAATAAACTATGTTGTGACCACGGAAAGCGGGGGGGGATTATTGCTGTTCTTTAAAAGGAAAAAAAAAAAAAAGAAAGGGGGGGGGGAAAAGACTGTCGTAACCAATTGCGGTTGGACGTCGTGCAATCACTGCAATGTGCCTCGTCGCTTTTACCTGGGCCGAGGTGCCATTTGGAAAGAGGATTGGATTAAGCTCCTGAATCTGGACGTGTTTCAAGCAGAGATGCAGAGAAGCAGTCCAAGCTCGATATTCTGCACCTTTGCACAAACGCGTCCAGATTCAAGCGTTCAATCCGATCGGTTTCGCTAGTGGGACCTCGGCCCTGGGGCTAGGTCCCACTTACACGAATTGAGCGATATTGACCGTCGATAGCAAATATCAACGGCCAGAAAACTACGGAGCAGTCAGGGATTGATTGATTTTTTTTTTTTTTTTTTTTTTTTGGAGGGATTGAATTTGATAATGCACTTTTTCGAGTTTACATGAGCTGATTTTCTTCAGGGCAATGCTCACTCTACCTCAGAACTCTTTCGACTGGGATCATTGTGGGATGTGGACCTGTTTGCGGCCAGATGCATCAATGTCGGGCCGTGGGTACAGTCAGATACATTTACGAAAGCGCTATAATTAGGCCCCAGGTATTTCCTGTTTTTTTTTAACCCTAGACGCTCTGCGAATGGTGTGAGTGCGTCAAGAGGCGTCTCTTCAGAGAAGAGGGGACAATCAAATGTGTTTTTTCAACTTACCTTTTTTTTATATTTAATTTCGACGATTTTTCTTTTTCCCTTTCTTTTTTTCTTTTTATTCGCCTTTTAGTTTTTTCCCTTTATCTTTTTATAATCCCCCGGAGGGGAGGAGGGCTGCGCCGCACTCTGCTGCAGTGCAATACAGAGGCAACGCTGGAGGGGCCGAGCAGGCAAGCCTACCCATATGACCCCTCGGTAGCCCAGAAAAATTAATTTAATATCGTAGTGGCCCAATGGACCACTGATCAGAACAGATACTACTCTTGATCTTAGCCAAAAGGCCGTCTCTGTGTCGTTTCAATTTTAACGGATGTCCCGAAGGAAGACAATCAAATGTCAAATGTCATTGAGGCCAATTGCGACTCGAAGAGAAGGCGAATTAACCTTTTTTTTATTTTTGTGTTTACTTTCCCAATAGAGAAGGCGAATTACCCTTTTTTTGATTTTGTGTTTACTTTCCCAATCTTTTCGTGCCGGATACTCAACAGTACGGTAGGTCCCACACAAAACGTTCTTGGGCCTCATCGCACTACTCTGAAAAAACGTGTTAAAGAAGAACCATTACACCACACATCGGCCCGCGGGTGTCAGCACGAAACCCGCACCGCTTCGGAGGCCGCCAATTTTTTTATTTTATTATTTTATTTTTTTTGCCGATTTTTTCCCACGCCGTGCGGCCCCTCCGAGGTTTTTTTTTTTTTTTCCCCTATTCCCCGGGGGGGAAGTGGGCTGTGCCACGCCTCGCTGCAGTGCAACACGAAGGCAACGCTCGAGCAGGCAAGCCTACCCCTTTGACCCCTCCATAGCCCTGAAAATTTAATTTAATATCATGTGGCCGGGTGGACCACGGATCAGATACTAAACTGATCAGAACAGATATTACACTTGATCTTAGCCAAAAGGCTGAGAAAGGTATGGCCCTGCGAGTTTTGCTTGTGGGGACAAAAACTTTCTGCAAGGCTGGGGCTGTGTACTTGCACGCCCCTCCGAGTTTTGCTTATGGAGACAAAAACTGTCTGCAAGGCTGGGGCCGTGTACTTGCCGTTTAAACTTTAAACTTTAAACCACCAGTACTTGGCCCAGTTATGGATGCCCAGCCTTTTCGCGCCCACTCGCCAGTGCCACAAAAAAAAATTGTTTTGGCTGGTGGCGCCAGCCTTCGAGGGCCGGTACCCCGAGCCTCCGGAAGTTGTGGGCTGCACGCCGTTTGGCGCCCACCCGCCAGTGCCACAAAAAACAAATATTTTGGCTGGTGGCGCCAGCCTTTGAGGGACGGTACCCCGAGCCTCCGGAAGTTGTGGGGCGTTAACAGCAACGCCCAGCGGCCGATGTATGGGCCACGACTGGTGGTTTAAACCACCAGTCCCCCCGTCCTAAACCCTCGGACTACCGGTAAGCCTGATTTTTTTTGGTACACCGGTCGCCGGTGGTCGCCGGTGGCCTACCGGGTCCAGGTTCGATTCATGGTATCACTCTGCAGCGCGATGTCTGAGCTGTTCCCCCCGAAGTGACCGCCCCGACTGATTTTCCCATTTTCCTAAAAAACGGAAAATGTTGAGTAATTTGTTTTTCATCAGGGTCACCAGCCCGTTCGTACGGAGGTCCCCGGGCAGACCTCTGTACGTACGGGCGTTCGGGGTCCCGTATGGGGTCCGAACCCGACGCCGTTCGTCCCCCGCCAAAAATTATTGCGGGGCCTAAAAATAATTATTTTTTTCTGAAGTTTTTTTTGTGAGTTGTGAAGGTACGTGCCTGTAAATTTTCAAGTCATTTGGCTAAGCCAAATAAAAATTAAAAATCGCCAAAGATGGCGGTGTCAAAACGTGCTCGCCCACGTATTTTTCCACTTTTTACTTTTTGTTTTCACTTTAGTTCGGGGTCTAAACA